ATATATATACATACACATACATACACACACACACATACACGTTTTCATATCCATGCCCCCATGCCCTCCAGGACTCCTAACTTCTGTAAATATCAAGACTCAATTTGTCTGCCTAGCATCTTAAGTACCATCGTTATTCTAATAGTATTCTATGAGGTGTGATCAAAAAAGAGTGTTTTAAGGTTTTTTTAATTCATTATGATAAAAGATACATTGTCCATCCATCTCCCGTAAAGCATTCCCCGTTTCTTCAGACACATTATTCCACCCTTCTTTCCTCTTTCTGAAGCACTTCTAGTGAGTCTTAATTATGCTGTGTTAGGTAGATGATGACAACTCAGTAATGAACACCAAAGGTCTGAATTTGGGGGTTCTGAGTGGGACCTCCTTCAGTAACTCCAAAGCAGAGTCAGAGTCCAGTTCATTGAGCTGAGTCTTTTATGGATAGGTTATTGTGGGTGAGGTGATGTGAAGAGGAGGGCAAGTGACGGAGGGAAGATTGCTTAGTACATGTCTGTAGCAACAGCCACTGCAACGTAGCAGCGTAGCTGGTATGCACATCTTTGCAGAATAGCCATTGTTCCCAGGCTCAGGCAGGGGCTGTAGGCTAGGAAAAGTCTGTGGTGTTTTTGGAGCTCAGGAACTTGGGTGGCTGGGGGTTGGGCAGGTGAGGGTCCGACCTATCATGCTTCTGTGGCTGCTTTGATGTCCTGAATTTTTCAAAATGTTCACTTTGACTGGGGAAGAGCCAGAAGTTGAACAGTGCCAGATCTGGTGAATAAGGTGGATGAGAACACTCTAACGTGTTTTGCAGCCTGCCTTTCCTTTAAATGGCACTTGGCAGCAGCATTCACCTTACTGTATTTTTAACATGAAAGAGAACTTCCAGATCTGCTCCAGAAATTGGCAAGAATGATGGGATAAATGTGTTCAAAGACGAGAGGGAGTATTTTGAGGGAGATTAATAGTAATGTGTCTCTCTCGCGCGATAATTTTTTTTTTAATTTAAAAGTTCATGGTATATTTTGATCACCTAATCTGCCACATTTCTTATGCCTTTGCTCGTTGATTTGTGTTTCAAGTCCTACCTCCTCCACAAAACATTTCTTGTAGCTTCCCAGGAAATTGCCTGCTCCTGCCCCCAACTCCTACACAACTTACAGTGTGTACCAGGAAAATGTTAATCATGCACAGCTTTGTGGTTCCTTGAGAAGTGATGTTCAGTTATATCTTTGCATCTCCACAGAAACCCTAGAAGTGCTTATTGGTGAACTCACCCCTGGCAGTGATTGAGCCATCATGACAACCATGCTGCTGCAAACTGAAACCTTATTTCTGCATTCCTGAAGCTAATTAGGGAGAATCACATTCTTTTCTAGAAATAATTTCAAATCTAGATTTTTCCTAAATTTCCTATATTTCCCTGTATATAATTTAAAATGTTCTTTTATTGTCAGTCTGTTTCTCAGATAGCTTTAAACCTGAGAACTAAACTTTCCCAGTCCCAGATTTAGGCTTTGTATTATAGTTTACTTCATTTAAGTTTTATGCTTTTTCTAGAACTCTAACCATACTGTTTCCATGGAGAAATATTCATATATTGAAATAAGTATGTGATAAACTTGTCTGTAATTTATAAATTGCTATATTGTATGTATCAATGGTGATCATAATTTTTCCATTTATGAAACTGCCTCAGAATGCAAAACTTTGTCAGAGACAAATGAATAGTCTCACATTTACCGTTCAAATTAAATCAGATTCCCTTATATCCTGAGAATTACCATAAAGATTTTCTTATACTCACAACATAACAACTAGCCCTAGAGTCATATTTGTGCACCAAACATTGGTAAATGCTGCCTAGACTCAAAGCATTGAAGATTGAATAGCTGTGATTATGCAAACAAGAATCTGAGCAAGAAACCTGGATTTATATTAAAAGAAAAAGCACTTTCCTTTAAATTCAAGTGAATATTTTGAAGCTTTAGATTTCCTCAGAGAATATAGGCTCAGACTTTTTGAAGTCTAACTCTGCTTGAAATGAACCCCAGCTCTGCAATATACTGATCTAGGACCCCAGATGTTTCACTTTTTCTAACCTAAAATTTTCCCTTATAAAATCAAGTAGATTTTTATAAGTATGTAGATGAAATGGTTGTAGGAAAACCATCGTTGTTAATGTATAAAGGCCCTGGCATGATACAGTTAATATGGATACCCTCTCTCCCTTTGTTTCTTCGTGTCCAGGCTTCTTACACTAGTTTTGTGCTATCTCCGAGTTAGAGGTTGAAAAGGCACTGTTGTGTGTGAATTTCCTTCTTTTTGTTCTGTAGGGTCAAGGAAGACACTGCAGCACACATTGCATCCCTCAAAGCATCCCATCAGAGGGAAGTAGAGAAACTCCTTTGCCAAAATGCAGTTGAAAATTCTTCTTCCAAAGTAGCTGAACTGAATCGTAAAATAACAACTCAAGAGGTAGCTCCCAAATGTGTCTTGATCTTTCTTTGGCTTTAATATACATTTTATGCCTAGTAACAGAACATTAATTTGGAAATAGTTTAACTTCACTTTTTCAGACTGATGGTAGAAATAGGAAATTATTTTTAGCTTGTGTTTTTTATAGGAAGCTATATATTGCCATATATTTAATGTTTCTACTTTAAAATTATGCTTCAAATGAGTATTTTTAGTCCCTAGCCCTCTCCTTTTAAATACTTGCAACAGATAAGGTTGAGGTACATGTGTAGAATGATTGTGACTTTAGTACTTGAATGTGGAACCACCTCCCTCCCCACCAAGGCCCAAATGACAGGGACTAATTTAACTATCAGGCATTCTTTCTGCCTGCTACTTTTTATTTATTAACCAAATGATTATTCAGGTCTATAGAAATCATGTTTGGGAACTAAAATAATGAACAGATAGATATGCATAGTGCTAGCCCTTATGAAACAGTCTTCTAAGAATTATGACAAAGAATGCTGAAAAGTTACCAGCATTTTCTTGAATAAATGTATCTTCCTTTTTAGGTAACAGTTATATCTACTTGGAATATCCAAAAATATCCACTGTACAGTCCATCTTCTCTGATGTTAGTAGGTTTAAAAAAGAGCATTACAATAGAACTTTTGTCTGCAGCTTACTTAGAAATGATACATCCAAAAAAAAGAAAATGAGTTAAGATGTTAGCAGTTGGGGAATCAAGTTGAATATGTGAATTTTATTTTTTCTCTTCATCCTTTCTATAGCTTTTAATCTTAATAAAACGAGCATTAGGGAAAAACTTAAAGAAATAATTGTCTTACTATGATGTATTCCACCTATAATTAGTTCATGCCATCTTAATTAAAAACTAAAGGGGCTGGGGATTTAGCTCAGTAGCACCACGCCTGCCTTTCCAAGCACAAGGTCCTGAGTTTGATCCCCAGTATGGTAAAAAATAAAATAAAATAAAAAATAAAAAATAAATCCCTCAATTGAAGTAGCTTAAATATGGACTTACTATTAAATACTAAGAAATTATTATAAATTTTCTTAGGTATAAAATTGTTACTGTGATTATTATAAGGATATGTCTGTTGTAATATTTAGAGGGTAAACTGTATTGAAGTCTGCAATTTAATTTCATGTGGCTCAGAAACAGTAATTTAGTGAGAAGTGTTTAAAGTGCCTTTCAAAAATAGTAATCCATACAGCCATGCAGATAATTTTTCTAGCTCTTTGCTCCCTTAGAAGGTATCAGACGGTAGGTGTAAGCATTGTATCGTATGACTCTGTAGTATGAAACAATCTAGGAGAAACGGGAACAGTAATGTTATAATACCATAGTGTCATAAATATGTTATTTCCCAGAGTTATAAATGTAATAGTGTGAAACTATGAGATAAATGGAAGTCAGTGTGGTCTGGTCATTTAGAGTGGGAGTACTGCATCAGAGATGATACACATTTTTCATTTCTTAATGGAAATATTTCCATATTTTTTCTTTGTCTAAAAATAACTGACATTTCACAAATTTTAGAAGGCTTATTATATTTAGTTAATGGCTTTTAAATAAAAACTGTCATCCTACCTAATCACAAAGATAATATTGTCCACTTTCCTCTAAATGCTTAGAATTTATATTTATGTTCAAAGATTTTTTTTTTCAACCACAAGTTGACTTTCTTAAATGTTTCAGGCTGTGTTCAAGGGAGAACCTTATTAACGCAGTATTTCTGACAATATTCTAGGTCCTTATAAAACATTTCCAAAGTCAAGTTAATGAGCTGCAGGGTAAGCAAGAGTCTCTTGCAGTTTCTCAAGTTCGAGAAGAAATCCTACAGAAAGAGGTAAGAAGTACAAATTTTTCTTAGGCATTTCAATCATATATTTATATATAAAATATTTAACTTAAATATACACATAGACATAACCTGAAAGTATCTGTCATGCATCAAGAAAATATTAGTAACTTATTAAAGTTCTCCCTAAATGAAGTTCAGATATCACTAAATTGTTTGTGTTTGCTCTTGACATTTTGTGTACAGTAGAGAAATGGGTTGATAGATATTTGGTTCTTTAATTTTTTTGTTTTTAAGCAGTAAAATTGTATATCAGCCATTTCTGTGCTAAGAGAAAAGACAGTTTTTTTCCTCACCTTCAGATTAAGACAGATTAAGAAGAGAAAAAAAGTTGATTAACATGTACGGCACACGATGCAGGAGAAACCTCACTGCGAAATAAGTCAGAGCAGTGGCAGAGAACTCTAGAGTGGTAGCTTTGGAGATTTGGATGAGAAGTTACAAAGAGGCCCTTCAAAGTCAGATCTATATAGTGATTGAAGTAGAGGTGTTTTGTGGGAGGAAAAAAAAAAGATTAATGGTTGTAACACTCTATAACCAGTTTCTAAATCAGGGAGAGCAATCAGTCAAGAAGACCTTTGCTTGGTTTCTAGTACCTTTTGCAGGTTGAATAGCTAGTGTTCAGATTAACCCTCACAGGAAAATGGATACAACGGTTGGAGAAGTGAGTTGTTTTGATGATTCTCTGTAGTTTATACCAAGTCATTCAGCTTCTTAGGGCTTGAGGAAAAGGGAAGTGTTAATTTTTAATGATTCTAAACCATAAGGGTAAAAGTTGATGATACTAGTTTGATAAATTACAATCTGATATTACAGGAAAATAGAATTCAGGATCCAGGCCAGATGGTAGGTGAAAAACAAAACCTCAAAGATGATGAGAAGGATTAGAATCTAACATCCACAAGGTTGTCATAATTTTCTACTGAAGAAAGTATTTTTTTTCCTCTCTACATCACTCCCATTTATGTCAAAAATAGTCCTATGACTAAATTGTTTCCAAAAAATCGTCTGGTCTTAGGAAACTTGCCTTAATTATCCACACAAATGCATATATAAAAGGATATAATTGCCTACATAGGCTCTTTTTAAATCTGCTTTGCTGAAACCGTTAAGAAACAATCTCAAACTGTTCCTTTAAAAGGCTCGCTAGGCTAGAAAGACAAACCATCAGATTCTGCTTTTAATACCAGGTGTGAACTCCCTGAGCCCATGTCAGATTTATTTCCTGGTTGCTGGCTTTTACACAAGTAACCTGATCCTGACTATCTGGCTGAGCGATTTTTGTAAATCTTTCAGGGAAAGGGAAGTTAAATTAGGCAGCTGAGCATTAATTGGCTTTTCCAGGGAAGCTGGAAAAGTTTTACAAGTTAGAGGAATTTATTGAAGGGGTGAGGCCAGATCTTGAAGTAGGCTCAAATCAGGGATCCAGAGATCCAGAAGATCTTTGCAGGATCCAAGTGAGGGAATTTGGAAGCAAAGAGGAGTATTGAGGGGGTAGGAAAAAAAAAATTTATAACAGGTGTGTATTTTAATTTTGATCTTAAATCAGACTTGTAATTTGGTGTTTTCTCTTTGTTAATCTTATTAAGGGAACCTGTAAGATGAGCCTTGACACTCATTTATGTTCTCCTTTAATATTTATCTTCTCATAATAACAAGAGGACATTTATTTATAATAAGAGCTCTCAAAAAGTTATCTTTTCAGATAGAAAATCCCAAATTTTAAAAGTACATTTATTTTAATGAGACTCTAGATGAATAAACTACATACTGGTTTTAAGCCATAAAAAAGGCTTAAATAAGGATGTGACATGACAGACTTCCTCAGAAAACCTGCAGAAGATGCAGTCTCAAAATGTAAAGTTTGTCCCAAAAATAGCTAAGAAAGCAGAGACTTTACTGTACAGATAATAACAACAGTGTCTCAGATCTCCTACAGAATGTGTGATGATCCAGTCACAGACCTAATCTGTTGTAATGACACTGAGCAGGCACTACTAGGAGAGGACTTTGCCAGCCCTAACCAAGCAGCAAAGTCCCCTGTGGATTGTGTGACCCTTTGACTTCCCTTAGATCTAACACAAAAAGACAGTACTGCTTGTCACTGGAACCTCAGGTCCTTTCAAAAAAAGTATACAGAAATTTAAAAAGTATTTAATTTGAACATTCTGAGTATACATATAGCACCATTGTCTTTCAGTAACTGTGATTTAGTTGTGTTCTAAATAATTCTTAAGTTATCATCTTAACACAGGTTTCCATGCCTGGTTCCACAGCATGTTTTATAAGGTACCTCTGAGCTTTCTCCGAAACAAAGTCTGCTTTTCTTTGGTGGCTGATGATATCATTGGGGATTTTCCACCTTTAACATACTTAAGTTGTCTTTGATTGTTTTTCACTTCGCTTTTTTCCCCAACTAATTTAGGTAAGGTGTGATTTTTTTTAAGAAGTATTATTGTTACTAGATAATATTTCCCCATAAAACATGATTAAATTTATTAATTTAATCAACTTGCATTTTCCTGTGTATTACTGCCTTTTGATGTTAACAGCAAAATCTGACTGATGAAATTTCTTTTAGGATCATTATATAGTATAAAGAAGCAATTAATTGTCTTACTAAACCTTAAAATAAATTCCTGCAAATCCCCTCCATTTTACTCCAAGGTGCTAATTACCATTTGTGGACTGTGCTATGAAAATGGAGGTTCTGCACTAGACTATAACCTTCCTGAGGACAAGGACTGTCTTGTCTCTGCATACACAGGTCCTAAGGCACCAGCCAACACAGAACTCAGTACTTCATTATCTCTCCTTTATATTCATACCTTTATTTTTGGAATAAGTTCCTAAAAATTGTAAAGTGATAAGGGCCATAAGAGAGTTACAAATAAAATTATGGTGTGTTGATAAAAGAAATACATATTCATTGAACTCTTTCTTTGCATCAGTCACTCTTGTTGGGTGCTTTAGCACATTTATGACAGGGCAGTAATTCATATGTCTTGCTGCTGAGCAATTTGAACCACTAGTGGTCCATGCATGACTGTCCATCACATGGCTTGTACCGCTGGTGGTACAAAAAGACCTAATCACTTTTATCAATCTTTTTACTAAGAAAATGAATAAAAAGCCACCTGATAGAACAGTCATGAGTGTACCACTAGTGGTTCAAGTGAGCAAGAACATGTATTCTTTTAAATCCTAAAAGTAATCACCTTATTACAGATACCTTGTATCTAAGCTAATCCTATCAAAGAGCCCAACTTCAGGTTGAGCCTCATAACCAGATAGGTTATGTGGGAATGAGAAGTTGTGGTCCACCTGGAGCTTCTTAGAATGTGAGATGAACTTTGGAGACAGGACAAACATTTACTTCCTATACATGGGGAATTGAAACTATTAATTACTAAAAAAAAATCCAAGATGCCACTTATCTAGAAAAATTTTATACAAATATTTATTTTTAAGATTGCCTATTTAAAAAGAACTATCTCAGGCCAGGGATGTAGCTCAGTGGCACTGCACCTGCCTTGCAAGCCCAAGGTCCTGAGTTCGATCCCCAGTACCTCAAAAAGAAAAAACAAATACAAAGAACTATCTTCTTGTGATCTTAGTTTTTCATTTCATACTTCAATTTTAGATTACAAAACTATTAGAAGAATTGAGAGAAGCCAAAGAAAACCATACACCAGAGATGAAACATTTCATGGGCTTAGAAAAGAAAATCAAACAGATGGAAATAAGACATAAGCAGAGAGAGCAGGAACTTCAGCAGGTAAAGTAGATCACATGTACATATTCCATAATTCTTCACTTTAAGTACCATTAATTTGCTATAGTTTTGACCTGCTTACCAGGTTTCTTCTGAAAGTGTTCCCATTTTATTTAAATCTTGTTAAAAATAATAATAGCATTTAAGGGAAGATAAGATTTTTAACTCAAATGTTTGCAAATGAATTTGCCTTATATGTGGAGGGAGAAAAAATTTGTATCATATTCTTATTCATAGGTGCCTAAGTTTTACATCTTACCCTGGGAGCAGGGCTTTAAAAACAGGTTTCCATGTTGTAAGTCATTTCAACAAATGTGTGTAAGAGAATTTAATATTGAAATATGATAATCAAAATACTAATGCTTAGCACTAGTAATATGTTTACCACAATTGTAAACATTATCTCCTATTTTAAACTTCTACTGATAAGGACATGATCTGTTTTTAGGTACTTGCATTGGTGCTAATAGTTAGCTTTGCTTTGACAGCGTATTAGTCTGTTCAAGCTGCCATAACAAAATATCGTAGACTAGTTGGTTAAAGCAATGAAAACTTAATTTTTCATAGTTCTGGAGACCAAATAGTAGTCAAATTGGTTCCTGGTAGGGGCTACCTTCCTGGCTTGCACTTGGCAGTCTTCTCTTTATATTCTCACATAGCACACCAAGGGCGAGCAGAAAAGGTGAAGTTCTCTTACATCTTTTCACATGAGGACATTAGTCCTATCCGATCAGGACTCCATCCATATGATCTTATTTAAACTTATTTCCTTACTCCACACCAATGGTTAGGGCTTCAATGTATGAATTTTTAGAAGTCATATTCAGTCTACAACAGTGTGGATTTAATACCTTTTCAAGACAGAAAATACTATAAACAGGCAGAACTTTATGGTTAACCTGAGTTCTGCAGATAAACCCAGGTGTACTTCTCAGCTTTGTCCCATCTCAGCTCTTTGAGACTGTTAAATATTCTTCATTCCCACTATGAACTGTATCAGCAGTGTGTAATTTTTGTATTTGCAGATAATACAACAGACATACCAAGTAGTAGAAACTGAGCAAAACAAAGAAATTGAGAAGTGGAAAAGACTGGCACAGTTAAAGAATCATGAGCTGGACAAGTTCCGCACAGAATTAGACTCAATATTAGATGTTCTTCGGGAGCTGCACCGGCAGGGAGTAGTTGTGCCAGTTGCTTTTGCAGGTGAAGTGAATGCACCAGAATTTTAGTAGAAATGCAGACTTCAGGTGACCTTGTTTGAAGGCCTGAAGATGGATAAAATTGTACCACTTTCAGGACAGATTTTAAAAAGTGAGTTCCAGTATGCTGCCAAAAGGAAACGACACAAACACCACCATTTCAGAATAAATTGCCCTTAACCAACAAGGAAAATAAAAAGGCATCCTGATGTATTTTATTGAAGATCATTAACTAGTCACATTTAAAGTGATTTATGGACAGGTTCCTTAATGTCAGATGATTATAACCTTGTAAGATTTATTGTAAAAGGTCTTACCTGTATGCTGAAAATGGAAGAAAATTGCACATACTCCACCACATTATTTTTAAACAAATGTGTATTCTTAATTTTCTGTGAGATAGAAAAGCAGCTACTCTTTCTTAGGAAGCTGGGTAGAGGAATGTGAGCACAGTGGCATGGACAAACTGATCCACTGTCAGTGAGTTCGAGAGCTTTCTCTCAATAATTTAGATGAGAATTCTATACTTCCATAATGGTAGACAGTGGATTCTCCTGTGTTCTAGTTTTCCACCCCTTCTTCTAGGTGACTCTTTTTTGTACTTGATACAAAGTGAAAAGTATAGGGAAATTTGATTTATCCACTGTTCTAATCTTTTAGGCTACAGTACGTAAATGTTGGCCCAAATTTTTTTATAACTTTAAAATTAAAAACAATACAGTAATTTTTACCCTTTCCATTAAAAAAATCAATTAAAAAAATACAAATATGCATGAGTAGCTGCTTTATTTTACAATTCCCATTTCTAAAAGCCAATAGGGAAATATATACAATAGCCAGTTTGTTTTCAAATGTTTTAGCCCAGGAGTTTAATAGAAATATAATGGAACCCACATCTGATTTTTTTTAAATTGATAGTAGGTCCATTTTAAAAAATATAAAAATGATGTTCAGGTGTGGTGGTACTCGCTTGTAATCCCAGCACTTGGGAGGCTGAGGCAGGAGGATCGCTGTGAGGTCGAGACCAGCCTGGGCTACATAGTGAGTTCCAGGTCAGTGTCAACTACGTAGTAAGACCCTGTCTCAAAAAAAAAAAAAGATAAAAATGAAAAAGTGCGAATCTCAATTTTATATTTTCTTGAGTCTTCAGAATATGATTTACATTTATAGCACATCTCAACTTGGATTAGCCACATTCCAAGTGCTCAATGACTATATACCAGTAAGTGCAATTCTAGGGTAATAATTACAAAGTAAAGTACTATACAAAAGACAGGAAAATTAAATCTTAGTGGAATTGTGGGCAGCGGATATGAGACACAGAAGTTGTTAAATGTAAGGAATGTAATTATTGTCTTAATACCCACCATTTTTAAGGTACCTTTTCTAAGAGGATAGTAAAAGCATTGTGGTTTGCTATTTTTAATGTGAAAACATTTTAATTTATAATATAATTTATTTGGATTATTTTTATGTGCTTTTGTCTATCTTTTTATTTGCAAGCCTATGAATTCAGCTGCACCCTTCGCTCCCTTTGTCCTCTTGACTGACTATACGTGTATCCATCCCCCGCACAAACATAGCTGGTTCTAAAACACAGCCAAATGCAAACATCAAATATTTATAAACAAGGTACATTCCACTTTGATGAGGATTCTGTACTGAAAGTTTAGTATTATTCTGGAATAAGATATACATGTGTTCTGTTAACAGATTAAAGATTCATAAGTACCATCAAAGGTATGGATACAACTAAAGTCTATAGCCATACCACCCTGAACGTGCCTGATCTCAACGAAAAACCCCATGCACTGTACTTCATTCCTTAATGATTGGCCTTGGGACCAGATGAGAACACAGAAGTTAGATACATTTTGGATATTTTGAATAGGAAGACTTCATGAAGATTTAAGCTCTAGAAATGATAATTCTTTTGAACTGTGATAGTTAACTTTAGGTATTGACTAGACTGGTTTTTAAGCCATATCTATAGCTAGATATGTCTGTAAGGTTCTTTCCAGCAGAAATTGGCATTTGAATCAGTGGACTGAGTAAAAAAATCCACCCTCACCCAGTGAGGGAGAGTACCACCCAAATGGTTGAAGAAGGCTTGTGTAGAACAAAATGGCAGAGAAGAAAGGCAAGTTCAGTCTTCTGGAGCTGGGATAGCCTTCTCCTGCTCTTGGATATCATAGCCCAGGTTCTTGGGCCTTTTCAGTCTCCAAGACTTATATCATTATATCAGCAGCCCCTCAGATTCTCAGGCCTTGGCCTTGGAATGAATTTCACCATAGGCTACCTTGGCTCTCAAGCCTTCCTTGGAACTGAGCTGTGCCACTGGCCCACCTAGTTCTCCAGATTGTGGACAATGTATCATGAAATCTACTCTCCCTAATACAGTAACATATATTAAATGCCCTCCTTTCTTTATTTCATATTGGTTGTTTCTCTTGAGAACCTAACTAACAGGTTATGGTACTAGGAGTGGTATTAGTGGAACAGAATTTTGCTTTGGGAGTTTTTTTGGGGGGTGCACTACCAGAGAGCAAACTGGGGACCTTGTGCTTGCCAGGCAGGTGCTGTGGCACTGAGCTAAATCTCCAGCCTTGGAACTGAATTTTTATATTTCTTGAATTGGTTTTGGGGCTTCAGGAATTTGCTTTGATTAGACTTAAAACATTAAAAACTATTTTTAACAGTAGCAAGAATCCTGAGCTGTATAGAGAGATACAAAAAGTATTTGCATTGGATACTCCTGATAATCTGTTAAAAAAGGCAAGTAACATAGTGACTGAATTTCAGGGATATAATGACAGTTGGTACTACTGTCACCAGAGATAAAAGGATAAGCTCAGGAATTGTTCAAGCACTGCATAAAAACCTATGAACTTGTAGGTGTGTCCTGTTCGAGAATCTTAATTTCTATAACCTCGGGGCTAAAACTGTCACATCAAATACAAATCCTCATCATGGAAGTGGCTGAATTACAGTGAAAATTGAAAAGCTTCAAAGGAGGTGTGCTATTAAAGTGAGAACAGTGTGAATGAATGAATATAACACATACAGTGTAAATTGAACCAAGGAGGTGAAAAGTACACAAATTATAAAACATTGATGAGTGAAACAAAGTACAAGTAAATGGAGTTGGAAGAATATTGTTATACAACTCAATATACATATTCAGTGCAATTTCTTGAAATTCCAAGGAGAGTTTTTGCAGGAAAAAAATTGTTTTCAAATGGAACCAGGAAAGACCCCAAGTAGCCAAAGTAATCTACCTGACATAAAAATAGATACTAAGGAGCCATAGTTTTCAAAACAGCATGGTACTGACATTAAAAAATACACATACGCACATTGAGCAGTGGAACAAGATAGAAATTAACCCAGCTTTCACAGACAATTGATATTCAGTAAAGCTGCCAAAAATACACACAAAAAATGATAGCTTTATTAGTGGGTGCTTTGAAAATTAGATATCCAAAATGCAACAGAAAGAATGGCTGCTATCAAGAAATCACACAACAGCATATGTTGGTGGGAGTGCAGACTGGTGCAACCACTATGGAAGTCAATATGGAGATACCTGAAAGAACTAGGATTAGAGATTCCATTTGACCCAGCTATCCCTCTGCTGCATATCTTTACAAAAGAAAAGAATCATATCACAGTGATATATGGGCACCCATGTTTATAGCAGCACAGTTTGTAATAGCTAAAACTTTGAAACAGCCCATTTTTCCATCAGTTGGAAATTGGATAAAGAAGATGTGGTTTTTCTATAAAATGGAATATTACTCAGCCATATGTTTTTTTTTTTTAATACAACTCACACCTGATTCAAATTGAATTTAGTGGTTAGGTTCAATGTTCACCTTATGGGGGAACTTTGATTCAGTTCTTGTCCAATTCAATTTTCAATCAGGATCATGGAAAGAATTAAGTTCATGAACTGAGGTACCTTTGTAGATGTAAATCCACAGATGATCTAGATATTATAGTTAATATAGTCTTTTACAGGACTATAAAATTATTCTTTTTAATATGTTCAAAAAATGGACATTTTCATCAGAGAAATATGGTAGAATGTGTGTGGGGATTTTTTGTTGTTTTTTTGGGTTTTTTTGGGGGGTTTTTTGTTTTGTTTTGTTTTTGTTTTTGTTTTGTTTGTTTCTTGAGACAGGGTCTCACCATGTAGTTCAGACTGCTCTGCAACTCACTGTGTAGCCCAGGCTGGTCTCGAACCCACAGTGATCCTCCTGCCTTAGCCTCCTGAGTGCTGGGATTACAGGTGTACGCCACCATGCCCAGCAGTAGAATATGTTTTTAAGAAAAATCCAACAGGGGCCCAGGGATTTAGCTCAGTGGTTCCACCACCTGCCTTGCAAGAGCAAGGACCTGAGTTTGATCCCTGATACAAAAAAAAAAAAAAAAAAAAAAAAAAAAA